GTTATATGTGTGTACATTAGGGTGGACCAAAAATGCACTTGATAAAGTAAAGTCGGAATTTTTATGCTCTCATCCCCTAGCATTGTTCTATACCGAAAAGATATGTCCATATTTTTTGATTTCGAAATCAAAAAATATTTAGAGGTGCTCAAAGTTTTCCATGTGTTTTATATGGGAAAAAGCCACTTCTCGTAGTAATGGTATCTATAGAATTCGGTGACAGGTAACAAGATCACCGGAAATAAGGTCAATTGACACTATTTCGCATATTGGTGCGAAATAAAGCCAATTGACATTATTACCTTTTCAAAGAGCGACCTCTAAATATTTTTTGATAAAAAAAATAAATATTGGTATACTTTTTCGATATAGCACAATCCGAGGGGGTGAGAGCATTAAAATTCCGACTTTACTTATTTTGGACCACCCTTACGTCCATACTTACCTATGTATGGACGCTAGTCACGGTAGCCAATGATCTACATTCAACAATATCGTCTTTTCAAAGCAACACTATACGCCATTTCTTGCAGTTTATGTACTTCACCTTTTGCCATGAAAACTTTGCACGAAAACTTCACTGCCAACTGCAAATGCCGATGAATGAACTTATCGATTTGCGAATAGGCACTGTTAGGACGACTACTCAAATGTCTGCGCTGTCGACTTGCTTTCCAAAAGTTGGCAATGGCTTGACTGGCGTCAGTGGGACATGCTTTTTGAACTTTACACAAGCAGGTAGTTTAGATTGAAATTTGAAGGAACAACGCTGAATAGAATGTCAGCAACTATGAAATTGGTTTTTTAATCGAATTCAACAACTTACATACATACATAGATACCTGGAGGCTAAAAACGCGAGCATTGGCAATGCATTTGAATGCTCATAGATACATACTTACATATACATATGTGCGACAGCATGTAGATATATATGTATGTTGTGTAACCGCATCCAAATGCACAATAGAATGGCTGAAAGTCATCTGTGTCAGAGCCGCGACATTAGTTTGTCGTGTCCTTTCTACAGTACTGTGGGTTCAATGCACAAAAGCGCTATGTATTATGTATGGCTTTGGCAATCAAGCAAACCCAAATTTGCAGCTGCTGTAAGCATTTCATTCTCGTGTTAGTGCTGGTTTAAGCAAGAAAACGAATGCGAGTGATGCACTTGTACTAAGATTGCTGCTACTTACATACATACATATGCACACACTTGCCTTTTGCTAACTGCGACCTGAATATTTTGTCATTTCCTTCACAATGAATGTTGACATCTGCTGTAGCTCAAATTGGAAATGCGTGACACGTCGCGTGGACATGATTTTGTTGTAAGTCAGTGTATATGTGTGTTTGAATATGTTTGCACTTTAGGGTGGGACAGTTTAAGTCGCATTTTTATAGACGGTGTGCACTTAAATCAGAAATTAAACTGAAATTATAATAGTTTATTTTCTTCCAAATATAACCCAAGTATGATTTGCATCCACAGAGCAACCCGAACTAAATCAAATGACTTCTTAAATCTTGTGTTCGATCTTGGGTTCCGAACAGAAATTTCTCTTTGGTGATTCCAAGTGGGAGGAGTGGGTGGAAATCTAGTGCACTCCCCCTCGTTGTATCGAAATTTTTGCAGGTGGTTCTAGCAAAAAAATATATAATCTATATTTTGTTTTTGCATGGATCCGCGCGATCCCGTCTAATGAAGTATAATTCGTAAATGTTGTGCATCAATCAGTTAATTACGTATTATGATTTTAAAGTATTCTGATTTGCTTATCTACAAAATTTCGCAATCACTATGCACATTACTTTATTAGGACCTGATTGCCAATCATTTGATCTCTTCACCCAGTTTTACAAGTTGTATAATGCATAGATGAAAATAACTTTTGGAATCGTATTGTGCATACTAAGTAACTGAAGTGTTTTTAATTTGTGTTATTTCCTTTTTTTTATATAAGCAAAATTTTTTTCAAAATTTTCTTTTTGATGCAGAAATGTTCCTAGAACAGCTACATGCATTTCTGCATCAAAAATAAAATTTTGGGAAAAAAAAATTCGCTTACGTCTTTTTGGCGGTACATTTTTATTTATTAGGAAGTGTTAGAAAGGTTGCCTTTTTTATTTACGTGGATATATTGTATTGTGTGCAATAGTAAATGCCTCTATAAAAATGAAACAAGGATGGATACAAGATTTGATTTGATTTCAATTCATTAAAATTATTAGAGTATTAGCGTTTTTCATCCTCTTCTACACATTCACATTCCTCTGCTTACATGAGCGTTCATATTTAAATATTTCATTCAGTACGAACAAATTTCATTGTCCGGCCACGATTTATCTTTGTTTTACTCATAAAGAGAAAAAAGAAAAAAAGAAAACACAAACGCAGAAGAGAAGGGTCTTATCACTCCGTCCAATGTTGTCATTAAATCATCAAAAGCTACTAAATGCTTCAAGCTGATGACAAGCTTGACACAGAAGAAAGAACTATATGTACATTCATACCCTACTACATACCCATACATACATATCTACATAGCTGGGAAGCTTTTTTATTGGCGAGTCTGCAAAAACTAAAGCACTGATTAGGTCACTGTTACTGATTGCTGCACTATCTGACTACCGCTGACTGCTGCTGCTGCTGCTGACAGCTGACAGCTGAGTGAGTGAGCCTTAATGGGATTGGCATAAAAACCATGCATTCAGTGCGAAAACGCGCTTGCAACGAAACGGTTCAATTACGGTATAAGAAATTCCAACAACTGCGCGAACTACGGATCTAATTGAAATAATCTGCAAAAGGATTTGAGTTGACAATCGAATTGCTTATTAACGATTTACATAAACGACACTGACTGCCGATATGCGCTTGCTTCCGTTGGCTGCGCTGCTGCTGCTGCTGCTCGGGTCTACGCTAACTACCGCAGGACCATTACCGGCGCAAGATATTCAAGATGAGTCTGCTTCATGGACTAGCGATGAGAGTGCGGAGCCGAAACATTTTGCACCAGAGTCTAATTCTGATCTGGTTGAGGAGTTAGGCGCAGCAGATACAGAGTCAGATGAAAGCTTATCTGAGAAGACTTCACTTAAAAAACGTTCCCCGGACGACATACCTGACGTGGACTTATGCAATCATCGTCATCATGTCAAAGATAGTAATGAACTCGAAGGTGAAGATGCCTATGAGCGGTACTATCATCTCGAAAAGCCTTATGACAGCGAAGTTCGTAGGAGACGTCAGCCTTTAGATAAAGCGGGAGCTGATGGTAGCGATGTGGCACGCAGAAAGCGGAAAGCCGATGACAGTTCATCGGAGGAGGACTCGTCATCGAGAAGAGAAGGGCAAGTCAGGCGCTCCTGGAGCAAGCGCTGGAGAGGGTGCAAAAGGCGCAGATGCAGCGCGTCGAAAGCGAAAAGCGACGACGAGTACTTCAGAGGAGGATTCGTCAGAAGAGAAAGGCAAGCCAGGTCTCCCGGAGCAAGTGGTGGAGAAGGTGCAAGGGTGCAGACGGAGCGCGTAGGAAGCGGGAAGCCGATGATAGTTCGTCCGAGGAGGACTCGTCATCGTCAGAAGAGAGGGCAAATCACCGCGTAGAAAGCGGAACGCCTCCGACAGTACTTCAGAGGAGGATTCATCAGCGGAGCATAGGCGGGAAGCGGAGAAGAAAGGCAGACGAGCGCGCAGGCGGCCATGCACTCAGAGAGGTCACTAAGGAAAGCAAGCTGGAAACAGGAGAAGGTGCCAAAGGCGCAGACGGAGCGCGCAGAAAGCGGAAAGCCGATGACAGTTCTTCAGAGGAGGATTCATCTGAAGAGAAAGGCAAGCCAGGCGCTCCCGGAGCAAGTGGAGGAGAAGGGGCCAATGGCGCAGACGGAGCGCGCAGAAAGCGGAAAGCCGATGACAGTTCTTCAGAGGAGGATTCGTCAGAAGAGAAGGGCAAAAAAGGCTCTGACGGAGGCGAAGGTGATAGCAAAGCAGCGAAGGGATCAGATGGTGCACGTCGAAAACGAAAAGTCGAAAAGAATACGATTTCTGTGGAGAGCAAAGAATATTCCAATGGTGACGTGGTAATCGATTCGGAGTCTACCGAAAATAGTGAAGACAATGAAGTAATTGAATCGAAAAAAGATTCATCTTTAGAAGATTACGTGCAGGGGTGTGAGGTTATGGATGCGGATTCGGATGAAGCAAACGAGACAACTTACTTTGAAGATAGGCGAAAACGTTCGGTGGAAAGTGATGAGAGTGCTGCTGTGGTTATTTCTGAGCAAAGCAAGGAGGATAACACACGCGAATCAACCGATGAACTATCTGAAGATGCTAACGAATCATATGAGGCAACCGAACCACTAACCCAGCTGAAACGACGACGTGACACCACCAGCTCTAGCAAGGAAAGTGATGAGAAACATGACAAAGATGGTGAAAAGTCCGAAGATTGTGGTTGTGGCAAATCCAAACGGGCCGCCGATGAGTCAAACGAATCGAAAAGTAATGAAGACAGCGAGAAGAAGTCGGCCGCTTGTGGCTGCGGTGGTGCAGAGGGTGCAAATGGTGAAGAAGCAGAGAAGCCCTGAGGGCTAGCCAGCATCTGAAAAGATGACGATGGGAGCCACAGTTCGCCAGACGCACGCGCGGATGATTTACTGCGTTTTAATAAAAACATAATTTGATGCTGTATTTTTTAAGTTCCGTGTAGTTTTTTGTAAATTAATAAATTATGTATATACATGTATGCCTTAACTGATTTTTGTTGTATGCAAAATACAACAACAGAGATAAGTCGCACTTTGTTTATATTAACCTCTGTATTGCAAGCCAGAAAATTTTGTTTCGGTGCGCGTCAAGAATCTTATCAGCATTGCCGGCGTTGATCGCCATAACTCTGCGCGCCTCCGCTATTCCTCGGGTGTTACAATCATACTTGCACACACACAAACACATGCACAAAAGAGTTATCTCCTCACGCTCGTGTTGCCATTCAAACGTCGCTGTTCCTTTTGTTGTTTAATCTCAAAGTTATGGTTTTTGCTTTTGCTGCTATTTTGAGCGTCTCGTCTCAGCGTAAGAGCGCTTGTCACGCCAGCTGATAAGCATTAAATATTTAACCCAAGTGACACTGCGATGTGCCTTTGAGGAGCACGGCTTCCTCGGGCAATAAATAATCATAAACAAAATCTAACTAACTAATAACTTGGTGGCATTTGCGATACGAGTTTGTTTATCGTTCATTATTTAGTTCGTAATTAAATATGTTTTTCGTGACTCAAAATGTTTTGCCTGTATTGGCTGGCATTTGATTTGGTACGCGAAATTGAGCTTGCGACAAATGGCTGACACTGAATGGGAGGATAGCAAATGTGTGCCGGGTGCAATGGTTTTGTGTGAATTTGAATAGGACGTTGGCATAGGAAATATTCGAATTAAATTGAGTTCTCATTTATAAATATCGATCAAGCTCTGTTTTGATTGTTGGTCTGGACTGATTGGCCAGCATTGAATGAATTATTCTCGATTAAAAATTTCAAGTAAATTAGTTTGATTGGATCAGGACAGGTTAAAGACTGAACTCAACGAAAAGGCACATAAAAGGGGGTTCGAATTTTAACTATTTAAATTGGTCATTTCAGTGTAAAAACAAAACTTATATAAATTTTGCAAATTATTTTTACAGGGTGCCCATTTAAAACGGCAAAACGATAGCACCTCAACATTTTTAACACTTTTCCCTATTTTTAACCGACTTCCAAAAAAGGATGAGGTTATCAGTTCGTCCGAATATATATATATATATATATATATATATATATATATATATATATATATTTTTCCCAATTCCAAGCATTTTAATTGTAATTTGTAGAATAAATTTTGGTATGCAGTTTTAGAGCTTATTAAATTCTAGTAAAATAAAGTGCCAGTTTGAAGTTGCTAAAAATTCTCGTTGATTTTTGATATTTTTTTTTTGCTGACGGTATGACGCATTTTCTTCCATATAAAGCAATTTTTTATATGGAAAAGATAACGGCGTCAGAAAAAACTTATCAAAAATCAATGACATATTTTAGCAACTTCAAACTGTCACTTTATTATAATATTATAAGATATTTTCATAAGTCATACAACTGCTGAAAGTTAATTAAGAAATTCTAATTAAAATATTAAGAATTGCTATGAAATATTTAAGCAATTTTTTAAACTTTTGTACAAAGTTTGAGATATTTGGATTTATATGGTTTTTGGGAGATAAAGAGCTGAACTTTAATAAAATTTTAATGAACATGCTCGTTTTTTTTTGTTCTTTATGGCCTTATAAGAGTTATATTCAACAATTATATTGAGCTTGAGGCCGCTGAACCTTAAAAAAGTAAAAGAAAAATATTCAAATCTGATAAAAATGTTGATGTGCTATCTTTTGTCGCGGGCTGTAGGTATATATCATTTATCTTTTATGTAAAGACGAAAGATATTCCACTTTGCCAATGTTCACTTGAATCAAATTTTTAAAACAGCTGACAACCTACTCCAAACAATTTTCATAATGAAGCTTTTTTCATCCTGTTTTTGTTTGATATTCATATTGTTGTATTTCATTAAAGTAAAACGTCGCCCGTTTGATACCCACATTATTATATTTCCCTTAATTTGTTAATTATATTAATTTGACTTTTTTGAACAGGTTGGAATCTACTTAAAAAATTGTTTCGAAATGAATCATTTTTAACCCCTTTTGTTTGACATCTTCACTATTTATTATTTTATTTACTTTATTTCTTAATTGATTTTAACTGTTGAAAAGGGTGGCAATTCTCTTGCCAAATTGTACTCAAATCCGTCCAGCCATTTTAGCGTGGAAGGGCAACCAATATGTTCACACACTCACCCACTTTTACTTTTATAAAATTAGTAGCATTTATGAGTCATTTTTTATGAACAGACCACTGAATAAGATACCAATGTGTAAACATCAACAAAACTGATTGCATTGTCTCAATAGGAGCGTATGATAAGGCGTAGCATTAATTTTAATGATATATCTGATCTGCCTTTCTTAAGGCATATAAACCTTTGTAGATATATGCATTTGCTGAGAGATAAAAAAGCTGAACTTTCCAGCATCTTATAATCCACTCTGATTCATTTGTTGCGTTAAGGCTATTTAGTAGCTTATAAAATGTTTATAAAAAAATTTATAAATAACTTTATGGAGTGTGAATAAATTTCATTTCGGATAGCAGAGCTTGTTTATTTTTTGAAAAAACTACGTGCCAGTCAGTGGCGGATCCACGGGGGTATACATCAAATTTTACTTACGTCCATTTCTCTGGCTTATAGGAGCGGTTGAAAGGCATTTTTACTATTTTTTAATCATAGAATAATTAGTGTACTATGTTTTCTGAATTTCCACAAATAGGATGCCATTGAATGCAGCTGATTTATAGCGTTTAAAGCAGCACAAAGCTTCTTCAATGCTGCCATAAGAAATATTGCTAAGGTGGAGTTCCGCGCAATAATCTGTTGGTTATACGCTATCTTTACGTTGGAACATTCAGGAAAGAGCATCTGCATTAGGTGTTCAAAGCTGCTGCCTGTTCTTTCGCCATTCCCTAGGTAGCTAGACACACATGGATTCTATAATTAGAAATACAAGTAAATACGACCAACTTAATGTTTTATGTTGTCCTACTTATTCGATTTTTGCCCGCTGTTAATTGATTAAATGCATTCCCAAATTGCACATTTTATTACGAAAATGCTTATAGTTCAATTTTAACTTCCTGGAACCAGTTATGATTTATTTATTTGTTTGGGTTATAATTCAAACTTATCAGCACAAATATTTAAGTGAGTTACTCGCGAAAGCATAACATATGTACGTACATAGGTATGTATTTTAGCAATCAACATAAGTAAATAATATCGATAAGATTAGTGCATGAAAATGGTCGTCTTCAATGTGCGAAAAATTCTCTGTTGTGAAGTGTAAAATGAATTGCGGCGTTCATTCACCGCATTCTGCTGAAAATTGTACGCAGTCGAGTACTTGGAATCTAACAAAAATAAACAGCTATGCACAGCACACACACACGCACAATCCCACACACACACACACACATTTCCAACTGCCAGTGGCAGCAGTTTCTACTGTGGCCATTCGCAAGTAAACAAACTATGGACCTATCCCAAAAGTCAAAGCATTGGCCCTTGCCTTGCGTGTTTTGCTGAGCAACAAATGGCCAAGTGGAAATAGAAGAATAATAAATAAATAGCTCGAAGCTACATATGTAGCATAATAATGGAGCAGAGAAATTGCGTTTGAAAATATGTATGTACATTGGGGAGAAAGAACCGCGATTTCTCAAGAATTGCAAAACGATGGTGGAAAAAATTCTGTGGCAAGAAAAAGCAGAGCGGAAGAGGTAAACTAAACATTTTCAAAAATGTTGTTGCGGAAGATGTTTATATTTAGTATATAGTATACATACGGATCTACATTTGCATCTTTTGTATGTATGTAACACAATTTATGGGTACGCCAGCGGAAAATGGCTAATGAAGGCGGTGTAGTTGGCGCAAAGCTATGTATTTTGTAATACAGACGCACAGATCAACACACCGGCACACATACATACATACATACAAACAATTGTTGTTGGAGCTGATGAAGTAATACGACAACATACATAAATAAAATAGTCAACCAGCCGCCAGACCACTAAAACTGAGCAACAAATAGACTGATGTACATATATACTTATGTAGGTACCTACTAACTGTGGCTTTTCTATTTATCTATTGCGGCTACAGCTAAGTATGTATGCTTGCACATATGTAAGTGTGATTGGTGTGACTAGTGGAGGAGCTGCTGCAAATTGGTGAAGTGAGCAATTTTCAGTTGGCGAATTGCAGTCGCGTGTGGCAGTGAAGTGGCAGCGAAGAGCAGAAATCGCAACAAATGTTGTCGCGTTTGTCAAAGGAATTTGTGGAAAAATGTAAAAATTGTTGAATAAGGTTCTTCATACATACATACACATACCTGCACAATTGCATGCCATAATAAAAAATAAAATTATCGAAACTGCCTTGCAAACGATTGATAAGCAATCATTATACACTCTAACTCTAAAATATTGTGCAACGCTTGTGGTGAAAAAAAAATCTATTATATAACCGAGTGCAATGCCACCTACATATGTATATTTGAAAACTCTTCCATTGATAACACCAAAGTGAAGGCTTATAAATCAAAAAAAAACATAAAAACATAAATAACTAGTTCCGCATGCAGGCCGGTTGCACATGAAAATCGCTCAAAATTTATTTCCTCTTATGAAAAAAAAGTTCCACTTGTTGTTGTTTTTGAATCGTTTATGCAAAAATTGAGCACACTCATATTCTGTGGCAACGACGCTGTTGTGCAACGTCACGCCCACGGTTGCATGTTCGAGTGCGATTTGCAACAATGTTGCAGCGAAAGTGCATACCTGAAAAAGCACAAATCCACACACACACACACCCACATACATATGTATGTATGTATGTACGTTGAACCCTGTTAGTTGGCTGTTTGCATGCGTTTATGTAGCAATTTGCAAAGTGTTTAGAAAAGCAAATTTGTACTCTGCCGCTCAGTGGCCAGCAGAGTTTGTTGTACACAGCAAATGAGGGCAAATAAATACAGGCGTACATGTGCACTACAATTTATGTGAATACATATGCGATTTTTAGGCAAAGTATAGCGCAGAAAAGTAGTTTATTTTAAAATATACTCTACATATGCATACATGAAAGTACACAGCAAATAAGTGCAAATAAATGACAACCAACTTATATGTTGGGCCGAGCTTCTCCTCCTATTTGTAGTGAGCGTCTTTATGTTATAAAACACAAATGGAAGACATACAATTTTATGCCGCCTCCGAATGGCAAATTGTTTTATGGCAGAATGGTGATTGAACCAGGGAACGAATCTACGTCCTACCATATTGCAGCATGCACCACTCGGTTATGATGGCCACGTAACTGTAAGAAGCGGTAGAAATTGGCCGATAGTGTAAAATACCAGATAAAAGAGCGCCTAGATCTATAACAAAACCAGTCAAAAATGTGCTCAATTAAACCTACATATATATATGAGCTAAAAGAAGTTCATTTGGCAGCGCATAGTGGTCGAAAAACACGAAAAAAAAAAATCGCTAAAATTTGAATTTATTTGTGCATGGACAATGAAAACATTTGATGTGGAGGCTCTGGGAGTTTTCGAGAGAAAATGGACATACCAACCTTTTGACCAATCTTTGCCTTGTCTACGACTCTGGTATACAATGTAGTAGTGGCAGCGCCAAATCGCACTTATGAATGTCAAAAATTTAAAAATCGAAATTTTTGTTTTAGACTTTTGGACAGCTTTCTGGATTACCGATCATTGTGCGATGTGATGACTGGCCTCAAATGGCCTTAATAGCTGAATTCCATAAAAAGGAAGGTGCTGTTCACAGTGTGATGCGATTAGAAGATTTTAGTATTTTCTAGGCTCCTGCAAAGGAATCGAGCAATGAATTTAGATAAGTATACTAGAATGAATCT